AAAAAAAAAAAAAAAAAAAGTAACTGTTTTTTCAAGAATAGTAATATTTGAGGAAAACTGATTTGCAAAGGAAATATAATTTGCTGGAAATAAATTATGTACACAATGTAATAAGGAATTACAACTATCAAAATTAGATAAATAATTGGTCAAGTCAATAACAATGCAATATCCCACAAAATTATCCAAAATATATATTAATACATCTACTCATTAAAAATCTTTTTAAATCAGTGTGATAAATAATATTGTTTATTAATCTCAATTCCATAACCAAAAATTGCGGAATAATAATACGTAAAAAATAATCTTATTATTTTGAATGTCTCATACAACTTAAGACGAAACTACTATTATAACTTTTATATAAAAAGAAACTATAATGACATTATACGACAATAAATTTTATAATAAAATAATAAATTACCTATTATATATTGACCAATGATATGTAAAGTTGTTATTTTTATATATATGTATAAAACTAATTTAAATTAGTATAAACGTTTCAGCAGAATATATGTTAATTAATTTACAGACTAGGGCTAATATGTTCATGTTTAACTTTATGACTTAAAAAAATACACGGATTAATAGATGTGGAAAATAGGTGAGGCGATTGAGTTATTTTTCAAGCCTAAATGTGTAAAACTTATAAAAATAACTCATTTAACATCTTTTACTCAGTGCGGCATTGCATAGGCTACTTTTATAATTATTTACTCCTACGTGGCGTATACTAAACAAGATTTCCACGTCAATAATAATTAAGGAACCCTTCATAATTATATTATGATTGTTCCTTTTGTTCAGATATTTGATTTGATGTTTCCATAAGAATGAAACAACAAGGATTCGTAAAAACCAATACTAAGTTTGCAGTATTCCTTAGTAAATACGGTGATGTTAGAGCTTTGTTGAGGGTATAACCTGTGGAAGAGAAGCTGCCCGAACGACTGTCCTGTCTAAATCTTGGCGCCAAGCATGGCTCAGTCGCCCCAGCTTGGACTTCAATAAGTCCCACTTTTACTTTGACGATGAATTCTCAGACTTTATGGACAAGACTGTTTAAAGGTACGAAGAATCGAACCTAAAGATTGAGAGTTTCAGTCTAAGAAGAGATTGTTTGAATGATTCATGTAAAAATCTGATTATTAAAAGCTTTGGGAATGGGTGTTACTCGTCTTAGCCTTAAACTTCATGAATCCTCTGCATATTACTGCTCTGTTGTGCCGACTAAGGTGTATCGAAGCAAAAACCTTGTGGAACTATATCTGAGAGGGGGCAAAATCACCCTTGCTCCCAAGCATAAGGTACAATTTCCGCGGCTCAAATCCCTTAGTTTAACCTACGTCAAGCTACAAAGTGATGAAGTGATTTCTCGCTTACTTTCGGGCTGTCCCTTGCTCGAAAAACTGTCAGTCGCAGTATATGTTACCATAAGTCTTCCTAACTTGCCAAAACTAAGGCATCTGGAGCTGAGGCATCTGACAATTAATACCTCGTTTTTGGGTGACGTATCTTGTAAATTCCCTTTGTTGAGAGATTTATCCATGCTTCACTGCTCTTTCCAAGGGGATTTACTCATATGTAGCCCAACAATCGAGTATCTTAACATCAAAACGGATAGGATCGCAAAGACAACAAGTGTCGAGTTTGATGTTCCAAGTATTCGCAAGTTTAAGTTTAATATCTCGAAGAATCTGCCATCTTCTCTGTCTTTTAAATCAACAAGTTTAAAGGAATGGGAGTCTCATTTATCCATGTCGTCGGATTGTTGTCTTGGTACTCTGGGCGTCATTGGGTTGAACAAATTATTAACCGGTTTGAGACACTCCAAAATTCATCTCTTGATACAAGTAGAGAGCATAGATAGCTTCAATTATGACGTGTGGGAGTTCAATAGCTTGACAATGCACCAAGTCGAGGAGTTGACGATGGATCGCATGCACTGCGGCACTCCGTCTTTGACTAGTTTTGCTCTTTTTGATGGTTTGTTTCGGTTGTGCCGCCCAAAGTTGATCACTCAGCAGAATCAGACTCCTTACCCTTGCGATTTCATTTTTAAGATGTTTCTCAGGCACGGAATAAATCACGAATGCTCGGATAGGAGCCTTTGTATGTATGGTTTGCGACATCTTGAGGAAGTAAGAGGTCAGATTATTGATGAAGATGTTGACACTTGGCGGCTTATTACGTTGGATACTTGGGATGCTTTAAAGGACCAAAACAAAATCCGCTTCCAGTTGATGTGGAGAGATGATGGTTCGCTTCCTCATCACACATGGTTCAAAAAGTTTGGAAATTTTCTAAAGGAGTTGTGGCGGAAGTTCGTCTCTGTCTCCATCTTTCCTCACAAACTATTTTTCATTATGAGCCGAGCGACTTTGAAGGTGTGCGGACACATGAGGTGGCTAATTTCACGATAGACATGTATGGTTTGTCGTTTTTAACTTGTTACGTTCTCTTTGATGGTTTGTTTCGGATTATCTGTCCAAAGTTCGTGACGCACTACCTAAATCCCGAGTCAACCTGCAGTGGGAACACTAACAATGTTTTTCTTGGAAAGAGGCTTCTTGAGGGAATGAACGAGAGTATATGCTCGGTCGGGAGCCATCTTATGCGTAGTGTGCATGATCTTAAGGAAGTAAATATGAAGTTTTTTTATGATGATGCTTCTGAGTGGACTACCATTCCATGGGACTCATTCAACTTCGTTTTCAATTGGAATGGAAATCGTAGCTTAGTAGTATATGTCAAGTCCAGCTACGTGAAGCCACAACAAGACATAAGAAAAAGAATCAAATTTTGG